TGTGGGTAGTACAAGAGCAAAGGCAAGCATTTTTTTTCCCTGATGCAAAAAAGTGGTTTCTTTGGCTTTGTGCATTTCTGTGAATGCCTCTGCCTGCCATTCATGCTAAGAGCCATTGAAGGAGTCATGTATGTATAATGCATGAGATTTAAATACCTTACTGAAACAGACATAGCAAAATATTCCAACAAAATGGGGGCGGAGGGGTTAGGATGCATTTTCTAACAGTATGATTGGGTGTAACTCTGTTTAGGATGGCACTGTAAGTGAATCACAAATGGCAAACTCTTTTCCTAGCACTGGATAAAAAACTTACACTCCCCTCCATCTTGAGAGCTTACTAGGCAGGGTAATACAGGTGATACAAAGAACTTATTTTGGCTCTAGAAGGCCCAGCTTCAAATCCTGCCCTCAGCATAGGGAAAAATTACACCTTTTTGTTGATTCATATATGAAATGAAAATCAAGAGTTGTATATCAACTAGAGATGTTGGCAGCGTAAATGCAATAAAGTTTTCAGAGTACCTTACAAATAAATCCTTCAGTCCTATATTTGGAAGTATATGGCACTAAAATTAACAAGATTTACTTCCAAGCAATTACAGTTCTTGGCTGTGAGGCTGCAATTTATATTCACTTGGGAGTGAATCCCATTGTAATTATTGCAATGTCTTAGTAAATTTATGGGATTGGGCTGGATGAACAGACAGACACAGCAAGATTGTAAATATATTAAGTTAGAAGAAATACCGCTGATTTTAGTACGACTTTCTCCCTTGTAAGCATGTACAGGACTGCAGCCTTAAATCAGAAGCACGGGGAACTTAGCACCATGAATAATGAATCTATTTTCTTCACAGTTCCTTCAGGCTCTAGAGCAAGTGGCCCCAAGCCTGCAGGCACCTTTGGAATCTTAATACAGTGTGTGGGCGTAGACACAAAATGGGTGCTGCAGGAGGCAGAACCAGCAACAGAATAGCTGCCACAGCTTACTTTCAGTCACACAGTAAAGATCCTTGTGCTATGGAGGCAGCTGCTGCCAAAACAATATTTTTTAAAATCTGCACAGACAATCAAATGTCTAACAGCAAATGAGAACCATCGCTGGGCAAAAGTCCTACCTACTCTTAAAAAACACATTGCGGATTTTGGAAGCAGGAGAAAGCTTTATTACTATGATTCAGGCAATTTACAAAGAGCAAAAAGCAAGAGTTGCAGTTAATGGGGAATTATCAGAAAGTTTCAAGATTGAGAAAGGAACAAGGCAAGGCTGTCCACTATCTCCGTTATTATTTATCATGGTGTTGGAAGTGTTGAATGAAGCTATTAGAAAATAAAATAAAATAACAGGACTGCGAGTTAAGAAAGAGCAATATAAACTGTTGGCATTTGCAGATGATGTGGCATATATATTAGAGAATCCAGTGGAGGCGGCGGAGGTATTGATGGAGAATATTAAAGAATACGGAGAAGTGGCAGGGCTCAAAATAAATCCGGAGAAAACTAAAATCATAGTAAAAAACATGGAGGAGAAACAGAAAAAAGAGCTTCAAGGAGTAACAAGATGCCAGATAGTGAAGAAGACAAGATACCTAGGAATTACAGTTACAAATAAATGCAGTGATTTATACGAAGAAAACTATAAAGTGTTGTTAAAAAATACTAAACAGGACTTGGAGAAGTGGAAAAATTTACAACTGTCCTTGATGGGTAGGATGGCAGCAATAAAAATGAATATATTACCAAGATGGATGCTTTTATTTCAAACTATACCCATATTGCAGAATCAAGCATTATTCAGAGAATTGGACAAATTGACAACTAAGTTCATCTGGCAAGGAAAGAAGGCGAGAATAAGGTTAAAAATGTTGCAGGACGTGAAAGGGCGAGGCGGATTTGGAGTCCCAAATTGGCTTTTATATTATAGAGCGGCGGCTCTAGTTTGGATTAGAGAGTGGGTCACTCTCGAAGATACAAGATTGTTGCAAATCGAAGGACATGATTTGTTACTTGGATGGAATGCCTTTTTATGGTATGAGAAAGCAAAGTCCCAAAAGTATTTTAAACAGAACAGCATTGGTTGAGAGCCTCTTTACTTAAAGTTTGGGACGGAATCCATACAAATTTTTATATTAGAAGATCGAGACTAATAACACCATTAGAGGCCTTTACGCTGCCAAATGCTTATACAGGAGAAGAGACATTGAGGTATCAGGACATTCTGGATAGTAAGGACAATCTTAAACTACCGGAACATCTGTCCTGGTGGCAAAAAGCACAGCTGGAATCAATATATTTGAAGGACAAAAAAAGTGGGATTTAATTGTAAAATAACAGAACTGGAAAATGTTATGTTAACAGCAGATAGTAAAATGATAAAGAAAAAATATAAAATTTTGTTGGATGATACAATGGTAGATGAAATTGTGAAGAATAATATGATTGCATGGGCTCAGAATTTAGGGCATACTATAAATCTGGAAGATTGGGGGCAGATTTGGGTGGAAAATATTAAAATGACTAATGCTATAACATATAAAGAGAATATGTATAAGATGTTTTATAGATGGTATATTACACCTGATAGACTGGCTAAGCAAAATACTAACTGTTCTGCTAAATGCTGGAAATGTAAGAGTAAAAGGGGCACATTTTATCATACGTGGTGGCTATGCGATGTTACAAAAAAGTTTTGGAAATGGGTCCATAGTTTGATGGAGAAGATACTAAGAGCAAAGATTCCATCTACTCCAGAGGTCTTGCTGTTGAATATATTTCCAAAAGATTATGAAAAAGAGAATAGGTATTTGACTGTTTATATGACGACAGCTGCAAGAATTTTATATGCCAAATATTGGAAAACTATGGTGATACCAACAAAACAGGAGTTTGTGAATAAACTTTTTGAAACAGCAGAAAATGATAAACTGACTTTAGAAATGAGATTAAGCAAAGAGTGGACATTTCAAAAAACATGGAAAAAGTTTTATGATTGGTATAATGTAAGTACAATAGAAGATTAGGCAATTATGGCACAATGGACTTGAGAACACAGAAGACAGAAGAATGGAAAGAGATAGAACGTTTCTATTAATTAAGTAATTGGATATAAGCATATAATGTAACTGTACTCTTGGTATACATGTTATGTGTAGTAGAGTGTCTGTTTGTAGTGTGTAGATTTGTTTGTTGTAGATTATAAAAGAAAAATTAATAAAAGTGTACCTATGGGTACTTAAAAAACAACAACACAAAAACACTTGATGGGCTCCAGGAAACACACCAGTGGGCACCATGGGACCTGCAGGGCTACTGTTTTAGAGGGACAGGAAAAAAACCAACCAAGGCCCCGGTCACACAGGCCGGATATCATGGGGGAGAGGCGTGGCTGTTTGCCCCGGAGCAAACTACCGTGTGGCCGCCGGATCATACGTCCCGCCGACGTCCCATGGTTTGGGGGGAGGTGCCGATCATACGACAATCCTGTGGCGTGGCAAAGAAGCCGTGCGGCGCGATCACAGCAGCAATGGCTAGGCGCCGCTGCACTGGCAAACGGGGTTGTGTGTGTGTTTTTTTTAAACCAAAGTGTGCACATGCGCCATTGGGTGCTTGTGCACATCCCGTGGAGACTTGGGGGGGGGGGACCTTTTCGCCACGGTACATGGGCGGGCGCCGGATGCCACGACCTACCACCGGAAACGTGAGCAGACGCCCGCCCTTGCCCCATGGTTTCCGGAAACTAGTACCTCAGAGGTACTAGTTTTTTACAGCGCATCTTCAGCGGGAAGCCTCGGTTTAGCCACGGGAGCTCTACGCTTCCCAGATGCTGCGGTGTGGTTGCGCCTGGAAAATCCGCCTATCTTCCGTCTCTGTAGTGTGGCTAATGCTCCGTGTGACCACAGCCCAAACCAGGATTCCAAAATTGTAAATGAAGAATACAGATTTTGTCTTTAGTGGTTAGGCAGGGACAGCATTTCTCCTCATTATGTTTTTGCCAGCCTGATGGGTTTGGATATTTTAAGTTAAGCAAACTTATCTATGCAGATGGATTAGGAACAACGCATGTTTCTCCCATACTGTGTTACAGTACCCAAAGGTGTTGGTGGTGGTGTTACTTCATTTCGTACTTTTGGACTTTACTGATCTGGCAGTGACAAGAGGTCCATCAGGTTCTCTTGAAGTGTGGAGCTTCATTGCTGTAACAAAAGGATTGTTTTTAAATGAGGGGAATATCTGCACCCTTAAGATCAATCACCCTGTTGGATCAGCCCCAGTGGTCCACCCATTCCAGCATTCTGTTTCTTACAGTGGCCAATCAAATGATTCTGAAGAAGCTAATGAACGAAGCACGTGGCAATTGTCCTCAAAAGAGGTACAGTGATTTTGTCTATGGAGGTTAACAGTGCTGGTCAACAGGATCTCTTGGAAGACCCACAGACCAAAACTTTCTCCTCCTGCTGTCCTATAAAGTACTATTCAGAGGTATTTGGATTTGGAGATCCCATTTTGCCGTTAAGATCTCTCCTCCTTCATAACAAATTTTGAGTCCAGTGGCACTAAGACCAACAAAGGTTTTTTTCCTGGGTATAAGGTTTCATGTGTACGCACACCCTATACCCAGAATAAAACTTTGTTCGTCTTAAAGGTGCCACTAGACTCAAACTTTGATCTGCTGCTTCAGACCAACACGGCTACTCATCTGAATTTCTCCTCCTCCATTAATTTATCCAATTCCCTATTAAATCTCCCTAACCCATTGGCCACCCTACCACTGCATCCCGCGTAACCCTTTCCACGACTTTGCCATACGCATTTTTATAAGTTAGTATTTCTTCTTGTGCAGAAACTCCTCCTGCATGACCCTGCCGCGATTCCCGCCTCCTTTCCGCCTTTCAGGTCTGGAACCTTGCATAGCCGGAACCATTCTTTCTACTATTCGTGGTACCCGTTTCCGTACGAACTTTTTTTTTTTAACTTTCCGGGAATTTTTTTTCCCTGGTGGGGGCATGTTATGGCGACGAGAATAGTGTCAATCGCCTTGCTGTTTTCGCCGCTTATACTATGGTTGGTCGCCTGCTGGTGGCTGCGGCGACGCCACGGAACGAGGCGGTGTGACAGTAGGACGCTGTTAACTAAGGGACCGGGGCGGCGCGATAGCGATGACGCAGTGAGAGCTCTGTTTGTAACGGCGCACCCTGATGACGAAGCGATGTTCTTTGCGCCTAGCATCCTTAAACTGGCTCGAGCCAGGCTGTGGTTGTTTTGCGCGTCCACAGGTGAGGGGACAGCGATGCGAGGTTGCCTAGCAACCGTAACACCATATCCACCGCCAGGACGTCTCTGACGTCACGGTTGCTCGGCAACACTTTAAAGGCGGTGGTGCGCGATGCGTGACGTCACGGACGCGGCGCTTCCCCTAAGAATGTGGCCGTCCTCAGGATCTCGGACGCGCGTAGGGCGAGCTATGAGGTCGGCTCAAAGGGCGTCAAAGGCCCGGGTATGTCGTCAGTTGCAGCGCCTCAAGGCCCTTCAAGTATTATGGGGCTAGAGATTGGGAACTCTGACGTCACGTCGCACTGATCTTGCCTTATGCCTTAGTTCCCTTTTGTGCAGTGCAGAAAATAGCACCAAAAGCTATGTATCTGTCAATCATGATACCCACTGTGGTATATTTATTGTATATATGTATAAGTGTCACACCATACAGAATTAATTTGTGGAACTCTGCCACAGGATGGCCAATAGTTTGAGAGGCTTTAAAGTGACATTAGGAGAATTCCTGGAAAAGGAAGGTTCATCTATAGGTATCAGGTGTTATGATAGTGAAATGGAACCTCTGTGTTCAGGTGTTGTGTAATAATATAGGGTAGCCGTGCTTCTCTGCAGCAGAAGAGCTAGATTTGAGGCCAGGAGCACCTTAGAAACCAACTAGATTTTTGAAGCACTCATTTGAGCATTTGAGAATCAAAGCATTTGAGAATCAAATCAAAGCATTTGAGAATCAAATCAAAGCATTTGAGAATCAAAGCTCCCTTTGTCAGTGTAATAATTTAAAACAAAAGTCCAGTAGCACTTTAAAGACTAACACTGTTTATTCCAGCATGAGCTTTCATGAGTCAGAGCTCACATCTCCAGCTGCAGGGGTCATTTCGTAGAAAAAGAGCTAGGGGAACTCTTTAGCATAACTCATTAGCATATGCCACACCCCATGACATCAGCAGGTTGCGGGGCTTTGTCATCTGCCCCGCCCCCTGCACCTCACCCGGGGGAACTGTGTTCCCCCGCAATCCCCCCCAAAATGACCTCTGTCCAGCTGCCATTAAGAGGAGAAATCAGTTTCTGCTGTACAGGTGCAGTGTCCTATGAATGCCATTTGTTGGGGTCAGCAACGAGGGGAGGCTTGGCCTTTGGGCTCCTGGACCTGGACCTTCCACAGTGGAAAACAGTACAGTGGACTAGGACCCCTCTTGATTGGATTCAGCAGATCTCTTCTGATTTTCTGTAATGTACATAAATTTGTGCCTGACTGAAGGGTCCACAGAGCCATGAGACTAGATATAAATTTCCACAGAAAACCAATGGCTCCCTTTCCCCAACTTACTAGAATCCTTTGCAGCATAGAAGCCATTCAGGACACACCCGAAATTTAGATGCCTTTTGTCCACTCGTTCCATATGTGCTCACCCACTGAGCGCCTTTGGCATGATACCCATGTTTTTGGCTTCTATGTCTACCTTCTCCAAAGATCTCTTTAGGTGCTGTGAGATACATTGTACTTTACTGTACTGCCAATTTTTGAAAAGACAACGAAGTAGAAATGATGTAGCCGCCATGGTGTAGTGGTTACAGTGCTGGACTAGGACAAGCTCACTGGGTGACCTTGGGCCAACCACTCTTGCAGCTCAACTTACTTCACAGCATTGTGAGGATAAATTAAGAAGGAACAGCCATGTGGGCCACCCTTTGTCCTTTAAGAAAGGATGAAATAAAAATTAGGTAGATGGATATCATTGTCAGGGCTAGTGAGCAATAATCCAGCAGGGCTTTTTCGGTGGTGGCACCCTCCTGCTGGAAGTCTGATTGGACCCTTTTTTTGTACATCTTGGAGTGGCAACTAAAGATATATTTCTTTTCCAAAGCTTTTGTGAGCCACAGCTGGTTCTCCAATCACAGTAGCCATTTTATTCTCTCTCTAACAAAGATCTTGGATCTTCTGTGGTGTTTATAAACTATTTTTTGGGTATTTTCTTGGTTTGCTGCTTTGAACATTCTAACGTACAAACTGGGAAAGTGACACATTATATTAAAAAACTGATAAAGAATTTGCAAGGGAACATCATATGCCTATCTCACTGTGGCATATTGGGTGGCTTGTGCCAGTAATGAAAAAAGTAAAGCTGAGCCACCCACACACACAGTGGCAGTTTATACATAGGGAACTCCCCAGACACAGAGAAAAGTAGGATTTTACAAATTAGCACAATGCAAAAGAACAAAGCTACAAAAAATGACCTGGTGAGGACTAAGTATACTCCAGGAGTCATAGAATGTCAAGAAAGCAGTTGAGAGTCTGTTACAAGGAGATGGAGAATATTCCTCCTAACGGCTGTGAGAGTTTCTAGAAATACCCAGAGGAGGAAATTTGTGCGTGTGGTTTCTAAATCATCCACCACCACCGGCACTAGTCTCCAGGTTGTGCATGGTTGTTGACAAGGCAATAGGGGACTGAGAGGCAGGTCTGCATGACATCTGCAAGTACATTTTTACTTGTTCCTTGCAGGGTGTATAAAATGTGATATGCCAGCCTATCTACCTACCTCCTTCTTAACCCACCTGATAGCTCCACACCTTTATATTCCAGCAACACAGCAGTCAGTCTTTAAGGTGTCACCGAATTCTTCTGTTGCTTGCCACAACAAACAGCCGTGCAAGGTCTAGTGAAATGTGGGGACCTCCACTGTTATTCCCTTCTTGGCTCCATTATTTTATCCCTGGCTGCCAAATGTGTAGAGTTTTTCCACAGTGGGAAGAGCCTTGTTCTGTTCCAAACAGAGGGCAGAGGGCCTTGATATTGTCTTTGTGGTTTGCAGGGAACTACTACAATCATGGGACCATACGCAAGGAGGAGCTCCTGAAGAGCTGTGCAGTTCTTGGGATCTCTGCTTCCAATGTGACTGTCATCGACCACAGGTATCTCTCTACCTTTAAAGCACTGGCATTTTCTGACAGCACAATATTGCATACTTTTCTGTAGGTGACTGACATATTTTTCAAGCGAATCATGCAAGCCACAGCTTCCCATAGGGCTGTTTCTTGCCCCTGCTTGTATGTTGGGACAGTTGGTATTGGCATTTCTCCAGGATGAAAAGGCGGACCAAATTCACTGAGAGCAGGTCTTATCAGTAGTTACTGACAGTCATTATCAGCTAATGACGGTAATGTTTTTAATGAAAGCCAAGAACTAGTAGATCATTGCAATGTATATTATTGCAATATTATATCACATTGTATTATATTAGATCACATTGTATTTGTTATGTTATGTTATGTTATGTTATGTTATGTTATGTTATGTTATGTTATGTTATGTTATGAATGCTGTAGTGATCTAGCAATTCCTGGGGTTTTTTCAAGACAGCTACACAGATAATTGTCTCTGTGGAAACAGCCTTCACCTCCCACTAAGTCCAAAATAGTATGGTACATAAGTAACATCTGGGATCTATGACTAGACCTCCTTTACTTTACTGTGACCCTTCAGATGAAGCCAAGAATTTGCACTGGGGCTGTAGGGATTAACCCTTCCCTTCTTTATTTCCTTGACAGAAATCAGCCCCTGAGCTGCTGTTGGCCTCAGCAGGAGGGGAAAATGTTATCCTCCACATATCTGACTCACCTCCTTGGTGCTGCCTTTTAAGTACATGTCTCTTTGATGTTGATGGTCATAGAAAACCACATAAGATGCAGCACTGCCAAACAGCACACAACCAGCTCTTTGGGCCAGCACCAGGGCTCTCCTCGGTGGGGCTCGCAGCTGCCTTTGCTTCTCTGTGGACCACAGCAGGGGTGGGCAAAGTCAGTTGTGTTTCTCAGCAGGACACAGAAGGAGACGGGTGGGACATCTTCCCCATGCTTCTGCAGTCTGTACCCATAGCTGAGGGTTAAGCTGCCATCTTTTTGTGGGCCAACTCTTTTGCTTGTTTCACAGCAAGAAGAAGAGATAAAGGGGCCCTGCAGTGTTGTTGCTGGGTTGTTGTTGTTGTTTTTTTACAGAAGTAGCTGTGAAAGAATCCCTGCCCCCATACGCACGCACACACACTCATGTCCCAATGCCACTTGCACCTCAGATATTTTCACCGCCATCAGTTGGGCAAGGCAGGAGGAAGCAGCACTGATTGCACTCTGAATTGCAACATCTGGAGAGGATCCAAGCCTCAGCAGTCCTTTGGCTTCATTTGCAAGGCAGGTCAGAGATGGGAGGGGCCAGGGTGACAAGGCACGGGTGCGAGAGGATGCTGCTCCTGCTCTTAGTGGGCATTGGGAAAGACCGGGGTGTGTGTGTGTGTGACAGTATTAAGCAACAGTTTTGCACAGAAAGTAGGAGTTGAGTAGGGTGGCATTTTGCAGCTAGGAGCTCCAGATTCCATGCCGTCTGTGTGTGTTTGTGCGCAATGCACCATCAAGTTGTAGCCAACTTATGCTAACCCTGTAGGGCTTTCAAGGCAAGATAAGTTCAGAGGTGGTTTGTAGTTGCCTGCATCTGCAGAGCAGCCCTGGACTTCCAAGTGGTCTCCTAGCCAAATGCTGCCCAGAGAGCCAACCCTGCGTAGTTTCCAAGACCTGAAGAGAACAGGCCAGCCTTGGCTATCCATGTCAGGGCATGGTAGGCTTGCCAACCTCTAGGTGGCACCTGGAGATCTCCCACTATTACAATTGACCTCCAGACTACCAAGACCAGTCCCCCTGGAGAAAACGGCTGCTTTGGAGGGTGGACTCTATGCTGTTTTGTTGTTCAGTCGCACAGTCGAGTCCGACTCTTCGCGACCCCATGGACCAGATCACACCAGGCCTTCCGGTCTTCCGCCGTCCTCTGAAGTTTGCTCAATTTCATGTTCGTTGCATCGATGACACTGTCCAACCATCTCATCCTTTGCCCTCCCCGTCTTCTTTGACCTTCAGTCTTTCCCAGCATCAGGGTCTTCTTCAGTGAGTGCTCCCTTCTCATTTGGTGGCCAAAGTATTTGAGCTTCAGTTTCATTATCTGGCCTTCCAGGGAACAGTCAGGGTTGATTTCTTTTAGGGTTGACTGATTTGACCTTCTTGCAGTCCAAGGGACTCTCAAGAGTCTTCTCCAGCACCATAGTTCAAAAGAATCTATTCTTCGGCGCTCGGCCTATGCTGTTATATCCTGTTATATCCTGCTGAGGTCCCTCCCTTCCCCAAACCCACCTTCCCCAGGCTCCACCCCCAAAGTCTCCAGGTATTTCCCAATTCAGAGCTGGCAACCCTAGGACATGCTCTCTACACATGCAAATTAAGCCTGTTCCTGCCTAATCTATATATCTGTCTAGTATGCTCCTATCCTACCCTTCCTCTAAGGAACTCAGGGCAGTGTGTGTGGGTCCCCCTTCTCTATTTCATCTTCACTTTCACCTCATGAGATAGGTTTGGCTGAGAGAGAAAGACTGGTCCAAGGCCACCCTTCAAGCTTCGTTGCAGAGGGGAGATCTGAATACAGGTCTCCCAGATCCTCCTACAACCACTGACCTACCTGCTTGCATAAGTTCTCTTGTTCTACACAATCTAGTCATTCAGTTTTGCATAATTCTGCATCTAGTAGTCACAGGGAGAGGGAAGTTCAGCTTAAAGTTAGTGGGATTCGTCCACCCGTCTGACCCTAGCAGGAATTGTTCATACACGGAGGGCTAGAAGCTTGCTTCGCACCCCCCGCCACCATGAAAGCGGAAAATCTCACACACTCTGCAATGTTTCCCTAAGCAGTCCTCCAGCCTGCCTTCTGGCCTGTCAGGAGTACTATTTAACAATTCCCCCGATCCCTGCCATACTTATGATCACCACTGTTCTTGTTAGTTTCACACACAGTGGTTGGTGATACAGGCTTGGAATGCTTGCTAAAAAGCATGAACTCCCATGCTTTTAAAAAAGGAATAACTAGGTAAAACATATAAACTAGGTAAAACTATAAATGTTTCTAAAACTCCATTTTCTATTTATATGGGGGGGGGAGTGTAATCTTGAATATATCCAAGAGCCATCTTTTAAATCTTGGTAAGAATTTTATCCTCTCTCCCGGCCACTGAAGTCTGCATGTGAAATCTAATTCCCCTTTTAACCTCTAGATCAGGGGTGTCAAACATGCAGCCGGCGGGCCGGATCAGCTCCTCGGAGGGCTCCTATCTGGACTGCAAGGAACTGGCTGTCTCCTGCTTCTTTCTCCAGTTCTGCTGCTGCTGTGTCGCAACTTGCTTTACCAGACTCTCTCAATCGCACAGGAGAGATAGATAGGCAAACTTCTGTTCCCAGCACTGACTGAGACTCCTCCCCCTCCCCCTCCCAGAGGGAGAGAGGGAACAAGCCAGAGCTTGCTTCCTGGCCAGGCTGCCTCAATTGCACAGGAGACAAAGGCAAGCCTTTCTTCCCCTCCATTGGCTGAGGCTCCTCCCCTTATTTTGCACCCTAGGCGAGGATCCCTTCTGGCGCCCCCCCCCCCACCAATTTTCAAAAATAAATGCTCTGCCTCTGAGTCCCATCCCTTTCCCTATGGTGCCTTTGTAGGTGAGATTTGTTGGCCAGTGGTATACATTAGATTAACATTTGAAAGTATCTGTGTGTGACAGCATATACACAGTAGGACTTGTTAGCATGTTCACTGATGGAAGAAGCCAACTAACCTCTCATATCTCATATCCCAAAACTGCTTCTCAGTTGCAGGTAGTCCCAGAACTCATTTTGTGACATGTAAAAAGTCAGAATGGGAGGGTGGGTGGCCACTGGCTCTCTTAGGATGCCTCCACACATCCCTCCGCCCCCCCCCCCCCGGAAAAGAAAAAAATTTAGCCAAGCTGGCTGGGTTTC